GGACGAGTGCAGGGAACGACCCCTCCCTCTATCGACCGCGCGCCACCGCCACCGCCGCCGCTGCCGCCGCCGCCGCGCACAGCGGAACATCCACCCACCGCCACCCCTGCCGCCCCTGCCGCCCACCCCTCAGCCCGGGGGCTGGCGCGGCGCTGGGCTCGGCCCAAGGCCCACGGCCCGGCCGGCAGGGCGCGCCCTGGACCAGGGGGGTGAGCGGCAGGGGCGGCAGCAGTAGGCCGCCCCGCGCCGCGCGCCCCCGCGGCCCCGGCGGGAGGCGCGGTGGAGCTTCCGCCTCAGTCATATCTGGATTTGCCCCCCGGACTCCGCAGGGACCCCGAGCGAGCTCCCCGCCCGGGGTGTATGATCTGCCGCCGTTCCAACCGCCCCGCTGCACCCTTCACACATCTCTATCTTGCCTCCCACTTCCCCTCCCCGTCCGTCGCCGCCGGGTAAATGGCGTTCGAGTGACCCCTGCTCCATGACGATCTGATCACCGGGGCCCCCTGCTTCCCCTTCTCCCTCCCACCCGCGCCCTATACGCCCTTCCGAGCTTCCAATCCAATACCCTGCTTACCCATCCGGGCCTGCCTGCCTGCCTGCCTGAGGACTTTCATCTCCAAGGGCTCTTCAGCAAGTGTAACGAGACCTCTCTTTCTCTCCCTGCATCCCCCCCCCCCTCTTTTCATCCCCTAACAGCCCTCACAGGACGGGCGCTGCTCTCTTCTGTTGTGCTGCGGAGCCGTCGAGTGCCGTGCTGTATGGATATCGACTACCGCCGCCGCCGCTGCCGCCAAAACTTTTTACAGTCACATACATTTAAAACCGTTTTAACGATTCGCGATTCCGCTAAACGCGAGCAAAACTTTGCTGCTGCACGGACGAAAAAAAAGGAAATCACGTAGAGTAAAGCCGCGCCCAATCAGGCGAATCAGCAGAATCAATTTGCTCATCGCAAACTTCACGCCGCCAGCCGCTGCTGCTGCGCCTGTCGTCGTCGCCCTGGTGCTTTTGTCCGAAAATTGCTCCGGCGGGGGTGTGGCGTGGCGGGCAAAGGAAGGGGATGGCCGTGGGACAAAGCGTGATCCACATGGGGCTGACGAGGACGCAGGCCGGCTGCTGTCCTCGCAGGTCCTCCAATGGCTTCCCTCGGCTAGATTTGCCGGTCCCAGCAGAACCCCGCAGGGTCGCGGCCTTTCGGGCACAGTGGCGCGCCATCCTCCGCAGGGGCCGGCGCAGAGGACGAAGAGGAGGAGGTAGATGGGCTCGGCGGAGCGTGCATTTGCGAATAGGGTCATTCCGGGAGCTAGGGGGGCCCAGGCCCCAGCTCGCGCGCCCCCTAGCGCACTTGGACGCTAGCCCGCCGCCGGCCCCCGGCGCGACCATTCCAGCAGCACCCCCCC